CCTCAGTGCTTGTTCCTCCGAGCCACCCACGGGGCAGCCATGCAGCTCCGGTGGTTCTCCCAAAATCCCAAACACCGGGGCGGCAGCAGCGCTGCTTTTCCCTGCTCCGACTGCTCATTAGTGGCTTCCGCCCCTCGGCAATTCCGAGCTGCCATTCCAGTGATGTGCTGCCAAGGTTTTAACAAGGGGCTCCCACAAACCTGCCTCCTCCTCCTCCTCCTCCAGCTACCACCAGCCCTGCTCAGCCTGTGGAGGAGTGCAGGGCTGCAGGAAATGCGCCTTTGCTGTTTAAAGCTCTTTTTTTTTTTTTTTTTTAAATGTTGGTTTAAAGCTGTTTTTATATTAGTTTTAACTTTCTGGCTAGGGAGGGACACAGCACTTTGGGGCAAACATTCCTGACTGCCCAAATTTTGCTGCAGGGAGGCGGAACCTAATAGAGCAACTCTGAGTATCTCAGCAGCAAAATGCTTTGTTTTTCAGCATTCCCTTCTCCTCCTGTGGTAAGCACAGGCCCACAAGACTCATTTTAGCTGGGCTACGACCCGAAATGTTAAAGAATTGCCTCTTTCTAGGTGTTTTGGGCTCCAAAGGATGAGTTTCTCCATGGGAAGTTGATAAGCCCGCAGGTAGAAGCCATTTAATTCCTCTCCTTGCTGAGCATCCCTCTCTTCTTCTCGAGGGGTTCTGCCTGTTCCAGGCCAGGTTGGACATTGCTGGCTTGGAGCAGCCTGGGATAGGTGTCCCAGGCCATGGCAAGGGGTGAAATGAGATGGGCTTTAAGGTCCCTTCCAACCCAAACCATTCTGGGATTCTATGGACACCAATAACCCTTTCTGCAGCAGTGTGAGGGGGGAAAAAAAATATTTAAAGCAAAATTACGGAGTCATTTCTGGCAATATGTGAGAGGAGCATTCACAAATTTCTTTCAGCCATAGGTGAGGAGCTTTCTGTCCAGTCCCCAGCCCCGTGGCTGTGCTCCATCCTGCTCCAATGGCTGAGAGCAGACCCAGGCAGGAAGGACCAGGGCTCTCTCCTTGGCTTCTTCTTGTGGTATTGTCTCTTTAGGATCCTCAGTTTTCCCTGGACAGCGAGGTGTCAGCAAACCATGGGCCTTCCTCAGTGATGCACAAGAGTCTCTGGAGAGGGAGAAACAGCCTCAGGGGGAAAAGAAAAGGCTTCAATCTCCATTTCCTCATGCCACATAGCCATCAGACTGCTCCTGGTTACAAACTGGGGAGCTGCAGGATACAGGGAGGACGTTCCCCCTCCAACCAGCCACAGGCAGATAAATCCCCCAAGCCCTGGAAAGGCTGGGGTGAATGAGAGAGAGGATTTTCCATGGGTGAGGAAGGGCCCTGGGGGGCCCCACGGCTCAGGGATGAACTTCTGCCAGGGATGTGTTTTGAGGCGGTTCCCCAGCTGTGAGATGCTCATAATTGTGGCTTTCCCTTCATCTGGGAGCCTTCAAGGGCGGGTGGTTGATAAGGGGTCCAGGCAGCAGAGGCAGCACAGCCTGAGCCAGGGGCTCTGGTTTCAGTCTGTCCCTTCCCGTGGCATGAGATCTGATTTTGGCCCTCTCTCCGCCCCCTCGAATGTGCACAACTATTCCTGAATTCCTTTCTCTGCTGCTTCCTCCCTTCTGAAGCCTTGCAGCCTGGTCCTGCTGCCTTTACAGGGCTGCCTCCTTTCCTGGCTCGTGGAAATCAAGGGATTTCTGCTGGTTTGTCCTTTTGTGATTTGAAACACCCCAAAAAATTGAGCTAATTCTGCCCTTTTGTTTTTGCATCTTTTGCTCTTTTTGCACCATCCAAATCACAAAAAGGTTTTACATTTAAACAAGGACAGGTTTGAATTGAAGCAGGTTTATATTTAAATTTAGCAGGCTTAAATTTAAACGACTTTGAGTGATTTAAATTTAAACAAGGCCAGATTGGGTGAGGGGTTCTGAGCAACCTGGTCTGATGGAAAGTGTCCATGCCCATGGAATGGGATGAGCTTTAAGTTCTCTTCCAGCCCAAACCACTCTGTGAAGTGGTTACCATCAATTTTGTCTCCAGACACAGCTGAGAACTCCATGAAATAATTTGGGAACATCCCTTCAGCAGTGATCCTCCCTGGCATGGGGATGCCATCAGCAACTTTGGAGCACGGCTGTTTCCTTCTCTCCCCATACCCTGAGACAAATGGGCCAATTTCTATTTTTTTTTCCCAGAAAACAAAAACAATGGCAAGAAAGAGGAATCGCCATCGGGCATGGAAAAGTTTGAGCTCAAGTAGCCAAGGTTTCAGGAGGTTTTTGAGTGGATCACACCCTATGGGATGCTGGGAGGCAAAATGCCCAAACCTGACCGTAGATATTTGATTGATCTGTGCCATGGGACTTTATAGAGGAGTTATTCCCAAAACAGCTGGGAATGATTGCTCCTGAGCTCAGAAAGGGGATTTTAGGGATTTTCTAAAAACAGGAGCATCACCTTTTGTGCTGTAACCCAGCATTGCCTGAAGCTACTGGCGGGGCTATTCCAGAATAATTTTTTGCACTAAAAAGAGGAGAGATTCAGTGAGGAAGAATATTCCTCACTCTGAGGGTGGGCAGGCCCTGGCACAGGGTGCCCAGAGAAGCTGTGGCTGCCCCTGGAAGAGCTTAAGGACAGGGCTTGGGAGTGGAAGATGTCCCTGCCCATGGCAGGAGTGGAACAGGATGAGCTTTACAATCTCTCCCAACCCAAACCATTCTGGGGTACTATGAATGCCACATTTTCCTCACCTTGATGTGTTTGCTCTGTCCCATCTTATTCAGGCCTTACCTCCAGGAAGAAGCAACTCCTCATGGGATTTCACCTTCCCCATTCACCCTGAAATTGCCTGGGATGAAGGGGGAGAAAACAAAAAAGGCCCTAGGGGCAGAGCCTTTTTTCTGCACCCTCTTTTAATGAAGTTTAATGAATTAAACTTTTAATGAATTTGGAAAAGCTACCTTGTAAAATAAAAAAAAGCAAAAAAACCAAAACAAAACAGCAAAACCCACCAAAACAAAAAAACCCCCAAACAAACTCCAACAGTTTTCCTGCATTTCACATTTCATCTGCACTCTCAGCCATGTCGTGGAAATTATTTCAATCCTTTTGTAACCAAACCCACCCCAATCCTACATAAACAAAGCCTGGGGGACCTGTTGCGAAATTTCCTGCAACCAGGGCCTTGCTCTTGCTGCCACCTTCCATCCACTCTCTGCTCCTGTGATATCCATGCTGGGCTGGGGAATGCTCCTGGTGGGGCTGGGAGGTGCTTCTAAAGCAGGGAAAAATGGATCAGACAGAGGGAGCTGTGCTGGGTCTGCACTGTGGCAGAGCATCACAGTTCTGTGCTGGGGTAAGAGAAACGCTTGGGCATCCCCCAGACATCCCAGGATAAAGTAGTTCCCATCCCTGGAAGTGTGCAAGGCCAGCTTGGATGGCCAACAGAGGATTTTTGGGGGGGCATTTTCCCTCTTGCTCAGCCCTTCCTTCCCCCTGCAATATCCGAGCTGCAGCAAGCAGGGGACAGGTTGGTGACATGAGGATGACAATTCAGATTCAGATTTCAGAGAGTAATTCCAGAGTCTGATTTCAGAGAGTCATAATTTCACAGAATCACAGCATGGCTGGGCACCTCAAAAAAAAGCCAAGCCAGTTCTATGCAACTAGCATGGGATGGAATGTGGCAGAGCCATTCCAGAGCTCTGGAAAATCCACGATCCACAGGGTAGGGCATTGCCACCTCCCCCCAACCCTAACAGGGAAGAAAATCAGCCTGTGGAATTCCCAGTTCTCCAGCTGGAGAACCAGAAAGAGCCAGTGGGAAGGAGAGGCCTCAGGGCAGCAGCAGCCAGAGCAGGGGGTCTCAGCCAGGGTTAAAGTCAGCTCTGCTCTGGGAGCAGCTTTGTGCTGAGCTCTCCACTCTTGGGTGGGATTTTAAAAAGTCTCTGGAACTAGACCAGCTTTTTATCTGGCTTTTGCCTCGTTTTGGTGTCAACCACGTTCAGGGAAGAGCAGGGCACAGCAAAACCTCGTGTGACCACCCTCCACCCCTTTCTTCTGCTCGCTGGAAAAAATACTACTAAAAAAAAAAAAAGCAGCAAATTGCTTCGTGGTATCTCCCTCCTCCCTGGATGTTATTTTCCTTTCCTGGAGCCCTCCCTGGATGGGGAAAGGGTCAGCCTGTCATCTGCCAGACGTGGGCATCCCCAAACCACCAGGAGAGGTGGAGCTTTCCTAAGTGGTCCCGGGCAGCCTGACAAGTCCCCAAGCTCCCTGCAGAATGTGGTCGTAATTAGATAATTAATAACTTGGAGAGGGAAAGGAAAGGAAATCAGCTAAATGGAAGCTTTCCTCGGTGGGAGGAAATAATTATATCTGCTTTTTGATATCTGAGCTGAGGTGGCTTTGCTGAATGCAAGGAACAGTGCCTTGCCTGCAAAGCCATCCCTGCCCCGAGTAGGACAGGGAGATCCTGTGGGCACTGCTGGGTCACGAAGTTTGTCCCACAAAATTTTCCCTGCTCCTGGAAGTGTCCCATGCCAGGCTAGAGCAACCTGGGATAGTGGAAGGTGTCCTTGCCTGTGCCAGGGGGGAGGAATGAGATGGGCTTTAAGGTCCTTTCCAACCCAAATCATTCTGGGATTCGTTGCTCCTGCCTATGGATTTACCATTTCAAACTCCAGTGCAAACCAGTCTGTGACATTACCAGACTGAATTTAGGCTGTCTATCCAAAAGCCTAAGGAATTCCAAGAGCTTCCACGTGCTCCTGGCACACTGGATCTTGCCCAGTGCCTGGATTAACTCCTCGCTGCTGGAACCAGGGCCAGGATTCAACACATGGTGATGAAGCACAGCCTGGATTTGTAGGGAAAAGGCCCTTCCCACACAACCTTTCTCAGAAAGACATCCTGCATTCGGTGTATTTATTTTTCTTCTCTTTTCTTTTTTTTTTTTTTCTTTTTTTCTTTCCTTCTCTCCAGACTGTCCAGTGTCTGCGACTGAAGTGGAATTGGGATATATCCAAGTTTGTAGCTTCTGAAACCTTAAAAACCTCAAGAAAACTGGTCCAAAAGACCCCTCTTGACCTCCCTCGCTCTGAACTCTTGTGGAGCATTTTAGACTGAGCAGCAAAAGAGCACCGAAGAGAAGGGGCTGAGACTTTGCAACATCTCTCCCCAAAACGACTGACCAAAGAGAGAAGGAGAAGCAACATTCCTGGTCGTTCATTGTTGTCGGGATTTTGTGTCTCTCTGTCTGTGCGTTTGGTGTTTTATCGCGATTTTTAAAAATTTTTTTTATTTTTTTCTGGAAACAATCTTAATTCAGGAACACATTTATGAGGCATCTTTGGGTTCGAGTTTTACTTCCCCTTAACTGTATTCTTGGGTTTGTCTTTTTTTTTTTTTTTTTTTTTTAATCCCAAACCTTATTTCTTGTACAGTCATGGCAAAACTGGACCAAGGCTCTCAGCAAAAATAGGAAAAGAAGGAGAAAAGCCCACCATACCCCCAGCTCCCTGCATGATTTGTTTCAAGTACAGCCTGGATTACAGACTTCCCTCCACACTCTGCCACCTCTCCCTTATTGCTCCATGATTTGCTACCGCTCATCCCCTTCCCACTTCTTTGGTTTTTTAAATTTTTTTTGTTTTGTTTTGTTTTCATTTTCTGTTCCAGTGTATATGTTGCTTATTTGTTTTATTTATTGAGATATTTTTAACGAGTTAAGAGACTGCAATGTCGCTGTGTATACTGCTTCTCTTGCCAGTAAAAATAAAGATGTCATGCAGCTACTGGGGGTTTGGGATTTATGTTCTTGACTCCACAGCCCCAAAAAGAGGCCGAGACTCTTCCTTGTGCCCTACAATGTTTTGACACTCAGAAATGTGGCTAAAAACGCTTTCCCAGGGAGTGGGGTGATGGGGTGCAGAGGGTGTGAGCAGCACTTGTCCAGGCTGATGTCTGCAGGGTGATTTGGCTTGGAATGGACCTCAAAACCCAACACCTTCCACTAGACCAGGATCTGGAAACATGGGGATAAATTATCCCAAATGACCTTTTCCCCCCATCAGCTGGGGGAGAAGAAAAAAAATAAACCCCAAAAAACTAAAAAAAAAAAAAAAAAAACCAACCAAAAAAACCCTCCCTGCTGTGGTCTAGGGCCATTAAAAAATAAATCATGTCATTCCATCCAAACCAGCTTCGGGGGAAAACATTTTAAGATGCCAAATCACGGTGCTCTCTGTGTGTGCATCAGATGCATTCATTCCCTGATAGGTTTCCGAGCCCCAATGTCAAGTGTTTACTTTAAAACAAGCCCGGCTGCGTGGAGGAAAATCCATCACATCCATTAGAAGCTCTTACTTGAAAGTAAATGACATCTCAGTCTGGGTTCTGGGTACCAGCAGAGCCAAAAACACCATTTAAGAAGGTGAATTTAACAGCTGTCAGGCCATACAGCACAGGGAATGACTTTCCCCCCTCTGAGGAACGCGTGGTTTTGCATCAGTTACTGCAATTTTGGGAATCTCTAACAGTTCCCTAGTTTGTAGTTTCACCACAAGAAGCGACTTTTCTCCAAGGCACAGGCACCAAAATCCAAATCCAGCTTTTCTGAGGGTTTGTCAGGGAGCCTGTGGCGCTGCTCTGCTGTGCCATGAGGAGCTCAGGAGCAGGAGGACGTGGCTACCTTTTCCCAAGGATCTGTGCCATGTGCCTTCCCTGCTGCTGCTGCAGAGGGTCAGGGCTGCTCCCCCTGTGCCCCAGTGCCATGGATTTAAGGATGGTAGATCAAAGCCTTTGACCTCTCCCTGCAGCTCTAAACAAAAATCGATGCTCAGCAAGCACCTTTGGAACCTCTTCCGTGAATTTTGGGAATTAGCCGAGGCTCTGGTGGGTGCATGGCCTTAGAGAGCTAAATCTGGAGCCTGGAATTAAGATGCAACATTTGCTTTTAGGCAGAAAAGGGTCAGGAGAGATCTGTGCTATGGGGTTTGGATGGGTGCATTCAGTTCCTGAGGAGAGAAGCAAGGCCATAAAATGCTCCAAAAAGTTTGGGAGCTGTGAACTCTCCAGATGACAGATTTTTAACAGCAAACACACCTGACTCCATGAAGAGGGAGGCAGACAATTCCATCAGCTGCTGGAAAGGCTTTCTGTGTGCTTGGAGTTTGTCTGGCATGAGCTGGGCAGTAGGGAAACCCAGTACTTATATTTTCTTTTCCACACACAGGAGGTGGTTTTTTTTTTCAATGGCATTTATCTCCACTAATTTCCAAGGGGATTGAAATTGTCCTTCCCAATCCCACCTCTGATGCCACAACGCCCTGTGAGAGATTAAGGGATGTCACCAAGGGCAGGCACAGGGTGGCTTGTGCAGAAGAGGATGAAAGCAAGAAATCCCTAAAAGCAGCAGAATCAGATGGGTCCCAACAATGGGATTTCTCCTCCATGGCAGCACACACGCCCACGTGGAGCCAGGCTAAATATTGGTCCTGGATTGCTTGGTCTCTGTGCACATGAAAGGCTGTGAAAAAACCACACAAACCAGTACAAACTATTCCAGCAAACCACAAAGAGAAATATTCACTGGAACGAAGCCAAGCACTGAGGTGAGGATGTAAAATGTACTGATATGGGATTTTTTCAAAATAATTTTTTACTCACTCCCAGCTCAATTTAGCACCTCCAACCTCTCAATTTTTTAAATAAGGGGAGAAAAAGGTTTTTGCATTTTCAGCCAAAGTCTGCATGAAAAAATAATAACTATAAAAAAAAACCCCAAGCAAATCCAACCCCCAAGTCCCACTCCTTGGGATGTCTGTTCTCCCTGGCCACCCTCAAGGTTTCCACACAACCAAGGAGTGCTGACAGCAGGGAGGGATGGGGGAAAGGGGGGAGCCCTGACGATTTTTCCCAGCGATCCTTGTAAACTTGGAAGCACTGGTTGGGCTGGGACCACCCAGGCACTGTTTCTGGGATGGCAAATCCAGCCCCCCCCTCCCCGCAGGGTGACAGCAAGGAGAGGTCAGTGTCACCTCAGCGCTGGGATCTTGGCTAGGGAAACCTGCATCCCACACAAACCTGGGAGAGGAGGCAGCCAGGGGAGGACCCATGGGCAGCTGCATGCTCCAGACAAGGATAAATCCTCTGTTTCCTGCTGTTGGGAAGTGCAGTGACAAAGGGAGCGGGATCAGGGTTAGGCAGAGAGATAAAAACTGAAATCAAAAGTGGTGTGAAAGCAGCTCACCAGCCCAGGAGGGATTTAAAAGCTGCTCGGATGTGGTGCTTGGGGACAGGAATTAGTGGTGACTTTGGTAGGGCTGGGGGAATGCTTGAACTCTGCTCTTAGAGGGCTTGGCCAGCCTGAAGGATTCTGTGATGGTTCAGGCAGGCAAAACCTGCTCCAGCAGGAGAAGGATGGCAAAGCAAAAGGAGAGAGGTCAGTCCCAGCAGGAGACACAGCCCATCCTCTGTCTCTTTGCTTTCCATTATAAACCACACATTTATGCCTCATCTTTAAACCTTTCTCCCACTTGCAGCACCAAAGGCTGCTCACCTAAACAGCACAAAGAAGCAAACACCACAGACTGAGGCCCTGGCAGACAAACTGTGGCTGAAATCCTTGGCAGTGCCCAATGTCCAGGTTGGACACTGGGGCTTGGAGCACCCTGGGACAGTGGAAGGTGTCCCTGCCCATGGCAGGAGTGGGATGAGGTGGTCTCCAACCACTCTTCCAAGCCAAGCCCCTCCACGGCTTGATGATTCCATTATTGCCAGCACTTTGCCCATGGTTTGATGGTATAATTCCAGGTTTTTCAGCTGCACCTTGATGCTCTTTGTGGTCTTGATGCCATTCCCCTCGCCTTTGTAGTCTCAGGATTTGTCTGGAGCTTGGTAAAGTGCACTCAGCCCTTTTATGATTTCCTGTCCTGTTTCAGAGCCCTGCACCAAAAGACTTTAGTTGCCTCCTAAATCTTTTTCCAGAACTCTCCTGTCACTTTAAATGTGGGCCAGCATTTTGTTAGCTTCAAGACTTTGAAATAATATCAAAGTAAACCTCAAAGGAAAATAACGCAGTAAAGGCAAAGGTTGGGGCTTAATTCATATTTAAATAAAAATCCTTCACTTCACTTCAGCTTGGGTTACTCTGTAAAATGACTGGGAGCAAATGGAGCTTTTAAAGGCCTTATTCCCCCCAGGGGTCTGTTTTAAAGTGATCAGGGAGCCTAGCAGGCCCAGGAATGGAATTGCCTTCCCAGGAAACATTCCCTACCACTGAGAAGAAAAATCCTTGAAGTTCTCCAGAACCAAGATGGACTTTTTTTCCTCCCTCCTTTCCAATTGCCCCAGAGCAATGTTCGTGAATGGTGGGAAGGCGGACAGGATCCTTGTCAAAGCCTTTGGAGAAGGAGACCAGGAGCTCGGGACTAATTTGCATGTCAAAACACAGCTTTTCCTCTCGTATTCTTTTCATTTTCTGGGGCTCACCACACATAGGAACAGGAGACACTGCCCTTTCCCCTTCCCAAAATGCTGGTTTTCAGGAGAGAAAGGAGGAACCGGGGGCTGATTTCCAACAAGCCCCGGCACCTGACAGGGATTTCCCTGAGTGTCAGAATTCCAAGCTGACTGCCCAGCACAGGTACCTTGGCAAGAGCAGCCAAGCACTCAGCTCTGCTGGACTTTATCCGGGGATCTCCTCTGAAATTATCCTCTAAGCTCCACATCCTGGAGTAGTGACGGATTTAGCCTTCCACGTCCCCTCGGCCTTGATTCCTTATTTCCTACTCCAGCCCCAAGAGCAGTGGGAGGGAGGGATGGCTTTTGCTAACGCCAGCAAACTCCAGATCTGCCAAAACCCCGAACAAAGGCTGTGAGAAAAATATTTCTGGAGGAAGCGTTCGCTGAAACATGATTCATTTCTTCAAGATAAGTCATATTTCCCCCAGCCAACACTTACAAAAGGGCTCTTCTCCCTCACCCCTGCTCCAGCCTGGATGATGGATATGGCCTGGGCACATGCTTCCAGTTGTGGATTTGCTCCCATGCAAAAGCAGTTTGAGGATGGTGATGCCTAAAGAGGCTCCCTGGGACAGAGGCTGGGCAGAGTTAAAGGAATAAATATGGATTTATTAAAAGCCTTTCAA